GTCCCGCACAGTAGCGGGCCGGGCCGGTCCACGTGGCTCGACCTGAGTCCAACCATAGCTGAGACTTTCATGGTTACTTGGCCTAAACGAGTCAAGGCCACAGTGACGCGCGAGATTCTAGCAAGGGATGCCATCAAAAAGACTATCGGGCAAGGGATGCCCCTTCCTACAGCACCCTCACCTGATCCTGCCGAGCGTCGCATGGGCCTTATGGGGTTATGGGTATTGGGCCAATCTTGTAGTGGGACCATTACTCCAACAGGCCCATTTATTAAACATATAGTTATTGAGTTTTTGCAGAATTCATTTTTCCGTGTTTTACAAATTGAATACACTCTGAAAACTCCACTTTCTGGCTTGCCTCTGACCAACTCTGAAAACTGGAGAAATCATGTGCAGGTTGAAGGGAGGCAACTCCACTTTCAAGAAACACTCCCGTCCCCACCCTCTCCTGCTTCACTTCTTGGGCTACAATTTTCCTTCCTGGCTTGCCTCTGACCAATTCTGAACACTGAAGGTCTTACATGTGTACCATTCAAAAATTTATAAAAGCTTCTTTAATCATGTCTTTAGGTACACAATTTTTGAGCACTTTGTTTCAAAATAAAAGAACTATTTTGAAAAGTTACATTGAATAGCAATTAAGAGAAAGTATGTAGGTTTTATCATTAATTAATGAATCATAACAGGTTGTTATACCTAACAGAATTAAATCAAACAACAAGAACCTTTTTCTTTTAATGGCAAATAAAAATCAAGATGTATAATAGAAACCTCAAAATCACCTCTGGAGCCACTTCTTTTCTTATTACCTTTCATTTCATCCATTGTTTATGACATTCCTTTAAGATCCTGTTTGGGAGAGGCAACTCTTTTGGTAAGGCTCAGATTCTGTGTTTTCAGCAGCCAGTGTGAAAAGCCCAAACTGCCATGGCTGCAAAAACCGGGCCATTCCGGATTGATTGCCCTGCCAAGATACAGATTGAGCTGTCCAAATGCACCAACATCAGTAGCCAGGAATCATCACAGCCTCCTCATACACTTAAGGGTTGTTGGTTACATATATTATTGAGAAGTAGCAGATGGAGGGGCCAAACACTCTATCAGAAACCCAAAACTCGCCTAAGTGCTACTATATTCACTACAAAATAGTCAACACAGTAAGTTGCTTTTGAAAATCTACTTTTACTTTCCAAAACTGACTATGAAATGCGCCAGTATTGCCTAATCATTTACCTACAAAGAAAAAGAGAAAGGGTGATGATTGAGGAGTGAGTACACAGTTAGCAGTGTCGAAAATTAGGAAAGTTATCATTATAATGAGACAACTATAGAAGAGAACATGCAAATATATTGAACAGGGAGCACAATCTTTTAAAATTTAATTTGATTAAATTATATAGCACTCATATGACATCAAAAATAAATTAGGTACTCTTACCTTTTCTAATTCTCTCATTTTAGCCTTGAATAATTATTCAATAAAAAGCAGTAATAGAACATAAAACTATAACAATTTATGCTTGTATTTTACTCTTTAATATTATAATAATAACTAATATTATCTTTTCAAAAATATTTTTAATAACTAAACCACCGTATAACACTTGCAAATACTAGGAAATATATGTATGTTATGGGCATAAAAGTTTAGAGTAGAATGATATTTAATGAAAAGAAATACACAATAGAAACAAGCTCACCAAAATATGAAATGGGATGTTTTCGAGGGGTTACTTCTCTCCAAAAGAATAACCAACAGTCCTCTAGAATACTGTTGAGCCAGCTAAAAAATATGTCAAACTGTCAAAGTAATCTTCCTAAGAATCAAGCCCAGCTCTAGTTTATTCGACAATCACTGCACTGTCAAATATTCTCACACAATAATAAGAGCCCATTTGGTAACCCAATTTTCAATATATCAACCATTCAACGTTCTCAATGAATCTTTTAGCAAACACTTATCTTCTAATTTCACATGCTGAATTGTGAAATAGTAATCAAAATAAGTATTGTTTGAGGTACTTTAGTGATTGGATTTGGTGAAATGGGTTAGCAATGATTTTCTTTCTAAACATAATATTAAAAAATCACCTCTGGAGCCGAGACTTGTTTCAAATATTAAAAAAATGTGTTCTACATTTGGGGCAAGGCAAACTCAAATCCATTCTATAATTCATCATCATCATCTCATCATCCTCAAGGGTTGTTGAGCTTCTCATTGATCACAACTTTCGGGGGATAATCATTGGCTTAAAAAACAATAGAGGGAGCAACCACCCATAAAACTCATTCAACTCTCTGGGTCCAAATAAAGCCTCATAATCCACGACATCAAACCAATCTGGTTGTAGATTTTGGTATGGAAAGACATTCTTAAGTGAATGAATGAATGAACGGCTAAATAGCAATTAGCAAGTATTCAACTTGTAAGAATTTGGTAAAGATACAATCACACCACACTTGGGTTTTCAGGATAGAGGCTCATAAAGACGATTTATTACTCCCTTTCTCCTGCTAAGATTGTCTAATCTTTCCATTGCAGCGCATCCCACAACGATTGTAGTCATTGTACATAATGAATTTGGTAATGTGTATGATTTTAAATCATTCATACTTTATTCTCACCAATCAATTCAATATCAACCACATAAACCCACATTTCTGGCAACCACACTACCTCCTCTTGTACCCATGTAATGGGGATAGAGGTAGTATTAGCTGAGGGAATTCGTAACGCCGCCATGGCTGCAAACACCAATGCCCATGAGATTGAGTGTTGCCTTGCCAAGATACAGCTCAGATGTCATTCATGCCCCACATGGACTTCAATGATCCAGAGATTCTTAAATGAATGTAGTATGTGTTAAAGAAAGTGATGCCTCAGAAATAGCCTTATATAAAATTAAGTCCGAACTATGCACTTAGTGGTTATGGATATATGAAGAGTATAAGGTAGCTGAAAAAATGAAATATCTGCCTCCTTTATAAATCTCAAATAAGCATTTCAAAAGCTACAAGTACTATTTCCTGAAGAGCATGTATACATGTCACCTTGTTTATGATAATTCATTAAGAGCCTGTTTGGGAGAGGCTTCTACAGACAGCTTCTACCCCAACATGGACTTCAATAATTTAGAGATTCTCAAGTGTATGTAGTGTAGAAAAGAATGTGATGCCTCTAAATTGCCTGATATAAAATTATAAGTCTAAACTATACATTTAAGGGTTACGAATTTATGAAGAGTATAAGCTTCAACTCAAAATGAAATATATTTCCACTTTCTAAATATCAGATAAGTATTATAAAAATTATTAGTACTATTCTCTAAAGAGCATACAAATATATAGCAACTTGTCTCGCACATTATGCAAGTATAATACACGGAGGCCACACAGCAGCATGAACTTCAGGAATATTTGAGAGAGAATGTGAAGGAAATAAAACATTGTTTGGAACTCTATTTTAAAAATTATTAGTTAAAATTTATTATACGTTGTACTGTTTATCTCCTATCATATCAGTGCTGAGTGATCTAAACACATAAACATAAATTCATATTTTGTTTCCCATGCGGTCTCCGTGCTAAATCCACACATAAAAAATAATTTCCATACATATACCAGACTGGACAGTTCAAACAAATTTTAACAAAGTAAACATAAAAATTTTCAGACCAAATAAAAACAGCCGAGCGCCATTTTGTAAAGAGCTTAACTCCATTTTTGGAACGGCCCAACTTCATTTTATTTATAAAGGAACTCAGTGAACTTCATTGGCCAAATCTTACGCATATATAGGAAATACAATACTTAATTACATGCAGCATGCTCTAATGAAAAGGTTGTCGTGACAGAATAATTGTGAAACCGGGAAATGATAATTTGTTGAAGATAATGGTGTGGCCGTACTCTAAAGAAAAATAAACGTGCGTAAGCTTGAAAAAAACCCGGACAATATACAGAAACGATAAATACAAAACTGCAGATCGATTTCAAAGGAATCAGGGGATCTCACAGATGATCAGATCTGTTGAAATTGAAAGAAAAACATATATTGCAGAGAAAAGAAGAGCCTATGCAAGGGTAAAACTACTATTCCATAAAAAAATAAACAACTCTGTTCTTTTAAGAATGGAGTTTAAAAGAAACTTCCATTTTAGAGGCTCAGATCTGTGTTTCTAGAGGGAAATGGGAGCCGAAACCGCCATGGCTGCAACAACCGGTTCCATTTCCGGGTTGCCCCGCCAAGATACGGATCTGGTTCTCCAATCGCCTCAAATTAGACAGCCCAGGAAGAGGAAACACAGAAAAACATATCATCACAGCCGCTAGATTCACAGTTGTAACAACATAAGCGGACGAAGAGCACAGATCTTAATATAATACGAAGTACGGAGTAGTAATAATAATAAAAATAACGACAACATTTCTCAGTTTCAAGACAGAGAGCGTTGAAGTTAGTCAGTTACAGCATGCGTTTGCGACGAAGGCAGACGAAAGGGCGGTTCGGGTAAGGGAATGGAGAAATCATTTGCAGGTTGGAGGGATGCAACTGCCCTTTCCTGCCTCACTTCTTCCTGGGTTACAACCGTCCTTTGTGGCTTGCCTATGACATAAGTATATAAAGATCAACCATTCTTATTTTTGACGTACACCTCCTTGTACACACCATGTTCGTGAAGTTTTTTTTTTGTATGTGAATCCGGTTCACAGACAATATTTTGTTTGTGCAAAACATTGTCTGTGAATCGATGTTCACAGACAAAAAAAAAAGTTTTCACAGACATAGGTGTGTACAAAAGTGTGTATAAAAGTGTGTGCAAACGTCATTTTTGATAAAGGATAGGGGTGTCTGCCTTACTCATTAGTAAGGTACTCTGTCTTTCTCTTTTCAAACCGTCAGATCTTTGTGTTTTGATGGTTGTGATTAACTTACTTTTTTATTTTAGACTTCGGCATCTTTCCCCCCAACGGCTCCACTTTATTTGTCTTCTCTACAATATTCCTTCTCCACAAAATCTCTTCACTTTCCATCCAAAAATTTATCCAACTTCATAGCTTCGTTTCAGCTACCTCCATAACGTGATTCATACCTCATATCTAATTGCCGCCGCCTCATCACAAAGTTTACACGGTAAGTATATCTAAAATATTCAATTTCATTTTGGGAAATTTTGCTACTGTGATTCATACTTCGTATCTAATTCCTATTGCTTTTTGGTAAATTTTGCTTTACAAATGTGATTTCTATCCACACACTGGTTTGAAGAAAATTACTCAATTTGGAGGAATTTATGATTTACGAAAGAAACTACAATGAAGGACAAGTATTTTCTTCTTATGCTAATTTCATTTTTCTTTTATATTTTTCACACCAATATACTTCCTCCGTTCTTAAATAAATGCAACGATCAACATTTCACACTTGCCGAAACACAACTTTGACCATTAATATAAATGATTTTGTATTAGTAAAAATAATAAAAAAAAAATAGATTATGAAAATTTACAATGAGACAAGTTTAACAATATTTTTTTCATAAAATAATATTATTACATTAATAAATAAAACGTAGTCAAAGTAGAACATGTGAATAGTGTAAAAGTCAAAGTGTTGCATTTATTTAAGAACGGAGGTAGTATATAGATACACACCTAACTTCTATATATAAGCATTGAAATTAAAGAGTACTTTTTCTTTTGATTTAATAGTAATTTTAAATACAATATAAAGCCGAGAAATTTTATCTGTAAATAACCATTTAAAATTTAAATTGGGGAGTAATTTTTATCTATCGGCAATTACAGCCATATAACTAAATGTGGTGCTAGCAGCTGATAAAATCAATTCACAATCACATACAAAAAATAATATAATACACAAAAGATCAATAGTTCGAAATTACTTCAAGGTTTTGAAATACACAGAGAGAAAATATTACTAACTTGAATGTAAAGAGAATTTACTAGTAGTTACAATACAAAGGTCAAATATCGGTAACATGTAAGCCTTGTAATGATATCGAGTTATAATCAATTGGTGCCTGCATGATATAAACTTATTAGTACCAGTCTTAAAAAGATAAAATTGTAATGAAAATAAGACTAACCATTAGCAACTCAGTAAAACTAATTATAGGAGGAGGTTCTGGTGCTACGGTGTAGGATAATCCAATCGGTGATTTCTGTTACACACAAATATAGAAATGAGATTAGCCTATTCGATCAGTTGAGAATAACAAATAAAGTTGCTTACTTTAGCTGATGTGGCTCCTTTTTTCTTCTTTTTATTTCCTTCTAGGCAACCCTTATGACGTCTTTTGGTTGTTTGTGCCAATTTTTTGCTTGAACCCCGCTATTGTTGGGGTGCATTGAGGTGTGGAAATGGCATCAACACCAACATCAACACTTGAGCTTGAATAACTTTTTGTCAAATGAAGGTCTGTGAGTCGTCGTACTAAATCAGACATTACACCCAACATCATGGTAGTACCTTCCTCAGACTTGCTTGCCTCGGCAGATATACGTATAGAGGTTTGACTCATATCTCTAAATCTTTGTGTAGCATGTAACTTGGGATCCTCCTCTATCTCTTTTCCCGTTGCATCGTATGTTGCACAAGCTCTTGCTTTGTTCGTCCACCTAGGCATGATGTACTTACTAGGCAAAAGCTTTACATTATTAATATCGTAAATCTTCAGGGCATGACAGCATATAATTCCAACATATTCGAACTTCTTACAAGAACATGCTACTGTGTGGTCACTAACATAAAAAGATACATTATACACTTCCGCTTGATCAATCATAGACACAATATAATGCTTAAATATCTCACTATCATCCACGTTGTTGATAATAACTTGGTCTCTTTCATCATATTCATCCTGAAACAAATCCAAAACAGTTGGGGTGTACTGCTCTGAAAGTTGTTTGACCATGCGTGACTTTTTATTTCTTAGTCGTGGCACTTTGTCTCTTGAGTGATATTCAGCTTTGACTTCATTGTAGCGTTTTTCATCAACAACTTTCTCAAAAATTTTGAAGAACTTGATACGATCAATTCTTGGATTAAGTAGTTCTTTCAAATCAGAGTTAAAGCTCTCACTAAGCTGTGTGCTGCGAATTCCAAGTGTGAAAGCCCTCTTCATATCACACTTTGCCCATTTGTGTTTCAACAGGTAAGTGTTAATTATCCACTGATTTTCTTTGACATCGTGGTCTGTGGCCATTTTAATCCAAGCATCCAAGCCCTCTACATACATCGTGATATCTCTGTCAAGATGTATGTGGAACTCTCCCCTAGGCAATTGAGCTAAGTGCTTTGTGGCATTTTTCATAAGATGCCATGTACAGAGTCCATGAATGGTGTCCGGCATAACTTCAGATAATGCACGTGCCATTGCGGCATCTTGATCAGTAAAGATAGTTAATGGTTTTTTGAACCCATTAGCTTGAAGAAATGTTTGGAATAACCACTTGAATGAATCTGTGGTTTCATCAAATAACAAACCTGCTCCAAAAATCACAATTCCTCAATGGTGATTTAAACCACAAAAGACTGCAAGTGGCTTGTTCTTTTTATTTGTACCAAAAGTTGTGTCAAGGGACACTACCTCACCAAATAGTGCATAATCAATTATCATCCTCGCATCAGCCCAAAATACATTAGTCATCTGTTCTTCTACGTCCAATTGATAAGCATGAAAAAATGAAGGATTCTCTGACGCTTGTTTCTGGAAATAGTGTGCGAGTGTACTAGCTTCACCATAAGTCATGTTTCTTTCTCTCCTTGATTTGAGGTAATTTTTTGCATCATCTCGAGTAAATCCAACATTCTCTCTTCCTCCAAAATGTACACTCATCAAATCAAAAGAGGCCTTTTGCCCAAGGCCAGATTCATCAGCTAGTTCAATCTCATATGCTTGCACTTCTGAAATTTTTCTTTGCGATGGAATCATATGAATTGACTCTGATTGTGCAAGGTATGATTATGTTCCACTATTAACTCTTTCACTTCATATTTTCCGGAAATAAGTTTGAATATTATACGTGCTCTGCAACCTGTTCTAGTCTCACTTCGAGGATTTTTTGTCTTCATGTCTCTCTTGTCAATTCATCGAAATCCCTCCTTTGAGCACACATAAATCATTGATGTAATCTTTGTTTTGTCTTTCTTGCTAAAGTTACTATTATTCTTCCGCACTCCAAATCCTAATTTCCCACCATACATCCTCCAAAAATTCCACGCTGCCTCTGTGGTATCAAATCTCATCCCCACCTTTGGATGCAAAATATCATTCATTTCTGGTATTTGAAAAAAAAATACTACCAATAAGACAAGGAAAGGTATTTTTAAAAAATACATGGAAGAATAAATTATCTATATGTATTTATTTAAGTATTTGCTTCATTGAAACTTGGTTTCATTTAACTATTTTCAACACGTGATTTTAGAACTCCCAATAACAACGTGATGTACTCTGTATCTTTATCACATGTATATTAAAGTGCACACATAAATACATCCTTTAATACACGCATTATGTTTCATGAATCACAAAAGTAAATAATGATTTGTGCAAATATAAACATATATTGCAAAAAGTGGGGTTTGAGGCGGCAACAAATTAAAAGCAAAAACAAGGAATCGTACATGTACAAAAACTTACTCTGGTATTTTATGTTGATGCATAGATTGTTGGAGTACAGGACCACCGCACAAGATAAATTGAAGACCAAATGGCGCCAAATAATAAGTTGCGGCGTAAATAATGAGAAAGGGAGAAGTTTGGCGCCAACCTAAACCTTCAGCATGGCCACCCGAATGTATCTCATTGGATTAGCTAATAAATACTAAGTATAAGCCTAAAAATAATGAAATCTGGGTGCCGTTGATTTACTAAATCTGACGGTTACAAAAGAAAGGAAGAGTAAGGCAGACACCCCCAATCGGTATATAAACACTTGCAGCCTTACGTGTGCATTCGGGATTTAGGTTATGTTTGGATCAAAAGATATTTGGACAGATATTTCTCGAATTTTTAATACGAAGTACTAGTAATTCTCATCTTTTTTTTTAATAGGCCTTTTTCCTTGAATATTATCAAATTAATGCTATTTTCTAAAAATGTGACCATTTTATTAAAAAGACCAAAATGTGAATAAGGTCACATACTTGAAAAAAATGTCACTGCAAGATTTTTATTTCACCGTTTCATGTCATTATCAGATATTTATGTCACTTTTGAATGTCACTATTGCCGTAAAACATGTCACTATATCGCCAGAAAATTTTCCGACAATCTTTTCCATTAAAACCTTTTCCGGCAAAACTGTATACCACCGCCAGCGTCACCACCGACCACCGGCTATCATCGACAACTACCAGTAGCCAAACCCTCATCCAGTACAACACTACAACCCCTGCTCACTGCCACCATCCATCTTTCACTCCAACCTTCTGCCATAACCAAGCAACCGTCGCTAACCCTTTCCCCGATCTCCGCCGCCACCACTTGAACTGCCACCCCAACCGCTCAACAGTTACTCTAGAAAATAAAGGCCTGCCTCAGATCTGAGAAGAAGGACGACGAACCGTCGGATATAGAATACGGAGAAGAAAACGAGGAAGGCGATCAGGCCTGCGATGAAGAGGAACGGCGGTGATGAGCAACGGTGGCGGCGAAGAAGAGCCTGTGGCGAGGCGAGACGGCGGCGTCGAAGAGGTAGCGGTGAGGCAAGACGGTGGCGTCGAAGAAACAGCGGCGTGGTGAGGCGGCGGCGAAGAGGCATCGCTGGCTCCTGTAAGGTGAAGTGCTGGAATCAGAAGATGGAGGCTCCTCTGATTTCTTTCAATTTGGGCGGAAGTGAAGGGGTGAAATTAGGGCTATTGCTCATTAATTCTGGACACATTTGGGGAAAGAGAAAATTAAGTCATATTTTGGGAAAGGTAAAGGTCACCAGTCATATATATGCCATTAATTCTATTTAATACTATCTCCTTTTCAAAATCAATGTAACGCTTTTCTTTTTTGGATATTTTAAAATAAAGTCACACTTATTTATTTGGTAAACAAATACGGAGTATACATCAATACAGTGCAAAACTGTGACAAACAATGTCAAAATAATGTATTTTACAGTAAAATTTACTTTAGAAAATAATTTTTTTTGAAGTCAAAGTGTGTCATTGATTTTGAAACGGGGGAGTATATGTTGATGATAACGTCTAATTGAGATGTCTAATTGAGATGAAAGCGGTACATGTAACTCTTCTTTGGGAGAGCAACAATGATGTCATAATACTCAAGATACTTACCAATAATTGTTACTCCATTCTTCCGATCTCAAGGTTGTCACATCCGTTTTCGGACGTCTCAATTGGAGTTTGAATCTCTTTTAGAAAATAATTAGAAAAACAGCATGCATAGTGCTATCAAAGTTTAAGAAGACAAAAATATGACTTGTTATGTTTTTTGGGAAAAAAATATGACTAGTCGTTATGTATGGCTAATTAAACAAGAGAGTCATTGTAGTGTATTTTAGAGTCATAAGTCATTTATAGATTATGAGCGAATGAAAATGTCACTTTTGAACAATTTTAGAATAAGTCATTTTTGTCTTTCGAATTTAATTTAGTACTCACTCCGTCTCATTTTATGTCCTAGTTTCCTTTTTGGGTTGTCCAAAATAAGTGTCTTATTTTCTCTTATGAAAAGAAATGTGTAGTCTACAGCATTTCACTTTTTTATACTCATATCTTAACCACAATTTTTATTTTTTCAACCACTATTAATAATTGTGCCAATTCAAACTGAGACACATAAAATGTGACGAAGGTAGTTATATTCATGAAAAAACCAATTAATTAATTAATACTCGTAAGTGACAATATAGTCATTAAATATAATAAATAATATATCTATGACATCATAATTATATTCTATGAAAGTATTATATATCCATCAAAAGTATTTCCCAAATTATACACAAATAATAATATTTAATTATTATCTAAATAATTGTGTCACTTTCAATGAGTACCTTAGACCGGGATGGAGGTTGTATCTTTTAGTGATTGAGGGATGTTTGAAATAAAAGTTATACAATGTAGCTATTTGATAAAAGTGAAAAAGGATCAAATAGATCTTGTACCGTTTCTAATTCATCACTTAAGTCCTGCTTAAAAACATCATATAATAGTAATTTGAATCCGTATTTAGAGATTTATAAACATTGAGTCCCATTAATAAATTGTGATCATCTTTTAATCACATTTGGAGCAATTACTATATAAATAAATAACCTGGATATGAAAATACATATTTAGGGGTGTTTGGATCTACCTAAAACTGCTTCAACTTCTTTAGAGAGCAAAAACAAATATTGAAGTGTTCGAGTGAAAATGCAGGAGTACGTATGAGTGCTCCGAATTGCTTCTGAAAACAGTTTTTTAGAAGTCAGGTGAAACCAACTTCTGAAAAATAATTTTGAATATGCTTCTATTTTTAAAAAAGAAATAGAAGCATAATCAATTTCAAACACCCTCTTAGCATGAATCATTTTACCTTTTACATAAGCCATGCACATATGTAAAATCCTTCGTATGAAAAGATATTTAACGATCATAATAGCACATTGAGAGCTCATTTGGTAACATCGAAATTAGCTGGGAGTAAAATATTCTGATTTTCTGATTTTAGTATTAAGCCTTTTTATGAAGTAAAATATTTCTTTTTTATCCCAATATGTATGATATGCACAATACACAGATTAAGAACGTAGTGGGGAAAGTTAAATGCACTTCACTAGCATAGGCTCAAAACAACATGTTATGATAAGACAAAGAAGATTGAGAAATATGTGTGTTGTCCTACAACATAAAAGTCAGGATAAAATGTTCCTAACAACGATAGAGGAAACCTGATCACTTGTGTTATCCATTCACAAAACTCAAATATAATTCAAGATGTAGATTCTTCTGCGCCTGTTTGGTAGAGATAACTCATTTATAAAGGCTCAGATCTGTTTCCAGCAGGCAATATGAAGCCCAAGCCACCATGGCTGCAAGCCTGCAATAACCTAGTCATTCTGGATTACCCTGCAAGATACGGATGGGGTTCTTCAAAAGACCATTAGTAGCCTAGAATCACCACAGCCTATATGAAAAGTGAAAACTAGGGTGGTTGGTTACTTGATATTACTGAAAAGTAGAGGATATTATTGGCTAGCAGAGCGAGGAAAAACACCCTAACAAAAAACACAAAACTCACCTTTCCAAACTCGTTCTTAGAAATGAGCTATACACTATGCTAGTCATCTATCTATACATTTTCCAAAACAATAATCAACAGCCCTCTAGAATATTATTGGCCTGGCTAACCTACGAGGTCCAGGTAACATTATATGTTTGTACTCAAGATCAACTCCAAATTTTTTAACATTTGCTAAACCCTTGTCAGATATTATAAAGCAAAAATTAAGCTTTGTTTCATCATATCATCATTCTAAAGGGCAGTTGAGCAGCTCAATAATCAGAGTTTTTGGGGATAGTCATTGGGATGTAAAAGAACAACAAAAAGAGGGAGTGACTACCCACAAAACTCATTTACCTACTTAAGAGTTCAAATTATGCCTCATTATCCACACGTAGTGTTGGACTCGGGTCGGGCCACCCGGCCCGTGGACCAGACCGGACCGGCCCGCTACTGTGCGGGACCGGGACCGGCCCGGTTCTCGGGTCCGGGTCCGGTTCGGGCCTAGGCCCGGCGGTAGGGCGGGTACGAGCTTGGGTCTCACATTTGGCGAACCGGCCCGGCCGGGTCGGGCCCAGGCCCGGGCCCGGGCCAAATTGATTTTTTTCAGTTTTGGGGTTCCACCCGGGTAGGGCTTGATGGTTAGGATGGGTTTGGGGGGGTTGGGAGGGTGGGGGTGAAGGGGGGGGGGTTAGGAAAGCAAAAAAAATACCCAAACCAGAGGCCCAGACCCGGACCGGACCGGACCTGTGGCCCGGACCCGAGTCCATCCCTATCCACACGTGACACGACCACACCATCAAGCCAAGCCAAGGGTAGATTCTTTTGGTAAGAGATTAAAAAAGGGTAGTTTGAAAGAATGAATGAACAAATGGATGGATGGATGAATAACTGCAAGTACTTAACTTCTGGGAGTTTTCAAAGACAGAACCAACCCACGTTTGGTTTACATAATAGAGGCTCAGAAAGGCAGATTGCCAAAAAGAGAATTAATATGCCACCATGACTGCAATCGTCAAAATATCAAATGCTCATGAGATTGAGTGTTGCGCCGCCAAGATGCAGATCATATATTATCCATGCCCAATCAATTGTCCAAAAATAAATGGGTAGTGTTTAGTATCGTCATTGCCCCTTATGCCAGCACCAAAGGCATCTCATATGAGCATAATAGAATATATAGGAAACATACACTTTATTACATGTTCACAAACTGAATTAAGTGCTTATAAATATATGAAGAGGATAATCTCAAGCTCAATAAAATGAACTCCCCTTATCCTTTAAAGAATACAACAACATAACATCCAAACCATAGTCCAAGAAGAGATTGGGGTTGAATAACATAAATCCGGATATGCCATCCGCAAATGACAAAAGAGAATCGAGAGAAGTATTTCATAAATGGTTATATTTCTTATCTGAGGAGTATAAAAATATACTGCAACTTGTGTGGTGCACTAAGCAGTCCCGTGTGGCAGCTACGTGGATCAATGTGGCACAGTATAACATGGACAACTTCTAGCACAACATACACTTGGCCAATTTCAGGACAGCTTGGAATGCCAAAAATGCTTGGCCAAGAAAATAGGTAGGGAAATAAATACGGAAATTTGTGAAGTAACTGTTGAGGAAAATAAAACATGCTCCGAATTTACTTATATAAGTTGTTGCATTGTAACTGAGAGGATCCTTTCAAATGTATAAAAACAATGTAACTGAGAGGTCACGGGTTCAGTCCTTGGTGCGAAGTCTTATACTCTTATCATATAATACTCTGATCTATCGAAATTGGACAAAATCATATAAAGTGAAAGAGATAACTCCTGACTTTTTATAGAACTTTGCGTTTTGTGGAATGGAATTTTAAAGAAATTCCTTTTAGAGACTCAGGTCTGTGTTTCTAGAGGGAGATGGGAAGCAAAACCGCCATGGCTGCAACTACCGGTTCCATTTCCGGGTTGCCCCACCAAGATACGGGCCGTGTCTTTCAAATCCCTCAAAATTAGTGGCCCAGAATGAGGAAACGCAGAAAACCATATCATCACAGCCGCTTCACAGTTCTAACAATAAGCAGGACTAAAGGAAAACGTCAAATAAGATACTGTAATTAATTAATAGAGTACTGGTAATAATATCAGCAACAATAACCTTCAGTTACAACTGGGGTTAGGTTATTGCAGTTTCTTTCTTGCGAGAAAGAAGATGAAAGGGCTGTTCGGCAAAGAAAATAGAAGTACCTAACAGAGCAATGCTCTCACGATCCATGAGTGTTGGCCTACAAAGATACAAGTCAGGATAGAATGTACGTAACCACAAATTAAGGAGGAAACCTGATCACCTGTTGTGTTATCCATTCACAAAGCACAAATATAGATTAAGATGTAGATTCTTCAGAGCCTGTTTGGTAGAGGTAAATCTTTTGTAAAGGCTCATATCTGTATCTCCAACAGGCAACATGAAGCCCAAGCCGCCATGGCTTCAAAAATAGAGCCATTGTGGCTTAAGAATGGATGGATGAATAACAGCAAATATTTAACAATGGGAATCTGAAAGAGGGAATTACTCCACATCTGGTTTCCAAAATAGAGGCTCAAAAAGGTGGTTTAAGATTAGCCAAAAGAAAATCTATATGCCGCCATGGCTGCAAATATCAAATGCTCATAAGATTAAGTTTTG